TATATATATATATATATATATATATTAATAAGAATAATAAATTATAATATTACTGTAAATATTACTGCTAAAACTACTACTGCTACAACTATATTTTTATTAATACAAATATTTATAAAATATTTAATAATAAAAAGACTTAGATGATTCTACAGTAGAAGATTCTAATTTAAAAACTATGCATTAATAGTATTAAAACTATTTATTAAATATATTATTATCATCATCATCATCATCATCATTATTATATAAAATAAATATAAATGTATAACAATTCACCACCTTCAATATAACATTTCTGGCAAATTGCAAACTATGATTGGGGCTGGAATGATCCCAGAGGTTTTGGACTCTCATTATGAGTGCGATCACCTGTGAACGCTGCCATCGGGCTGCTGTCCATCGTCTGCGGAGGGCTGGACTGTGAGCTCCACTGAGCAGGAAAAGCAGACACTGAGTCTAGAGAGAGACAGAGTTGAGTTCAGAGATGAACAACAGGGCGTGTCGTACGAGTGCACAGATGCTGCGCTGCATTTCAATGAGAGAAGAGAAGTGACGAGTGTTTTCTAAGAGGCTGTGCAGAGACAAAACAAGACGCCACAAGAAGCTGGTTATTACTAGTGAAAGCAAACAGACAGATGTAAATGTTCATGCTCATGTCATTTATCAAAGAACACAGCAACAGTCAGCCAGTACTTGTGCTCCTGTGATTCACCTGCTGGACCAAAAAAAAAAAAAGAGGTGAAAAATCCCACAGAAGCGCATTGGAGGAGGACTAGAAGATCGCAGGCACTCTAGACAGGAAGAAAACACATGGCATCCTGTCCTATCATCATGTCAGCTAGTTTCAAAACATAATTTTAGTAAGAAATAGTCTGTTCACTGTTAACCCGATGCATATTGCACACAAAACTGGAAAACACTTTCTCCATCTGGCTGATTTTGGCTGACTTCTGTGAGTAACAACAACAGATACAATGAACTTAACACTGGATTTACATTTACATTCATTCATTTAGGAGACACTTTTATCCAAAGCAACTTACAAAGCGATGCATGCTAAAGGAAGCAATTTATTGCCATGTCATAAAATCTTTAAAAGATGTTCAGAATTTAATTTCAGGCAGCAGGTAAACTATAAATTCACCGGTAAAATCAGTTCTGAGTTATGGTTGGAAAAAAAAATTTTTTAATGTTTTTTTTTAAATAATAAAATAACTTATTTTATTTTAGCTAGTTGCCAAGACAACATTTCTCATTTTTCTTTAGCTCAACTAAAACAGACAACAAAATGACAGAAAATTACTAAAACTTCAAAAAAAAAAGAAAAAAACTAAAAAAGTGAAAACAGAAAATCTAAAAAATAAATTTCATTCAAATTAACAAAAATATATTATTATTAAAGTTATATTTTTTTTGGTAAATAAAAATGAATAAAACGATACAGAAAAAAACTAATAAAACTTTACACACACATAAAACTAAAATCTAATTCATTAACAAAAACAAAAAATAAATCAATGACACTAAAATAAAACTCTGCATGTACATAAATTCTGATCCAATTATGTCTGTGTTGTTTGTGGAGTCTGTCGCACTACTATTTGACTATGTTTTCCATGCTGGTCTATTATTGCCATTTAATCTATTTCACAAAATAATCCTGCCTTTAAATGACAAAAACAAAGCATTAGTCAGACAGTCTCTTCTTGACTACAGTAATCTGCATTGTGGATCTTCTTAGCTCTGGTAACGCCGAGTCTACGATTAAAGTGGAAACTGAACCCACCTGATAGTAAGTCTGTCCCAAACGTCTGATGTGGCGTCTCTTTCCGTGGGGTCAGCGGATTCATGGTGCCTGTAAAACAAACATGAAATGATCTTTCCGCTCTGATTACAGACTCTAAATCCATGCCTTCAACTCACCTGCTCCATTTCAAACACACAGCACGCTATTTCCATGCACACGTGAACACACAGCCCGATTCGGGTAAAGCGCAGAGCTCCAGCGGGTCTCTGACTGGCACGCTGTGAGCTCATGGTCCCGTCTGGGAGGGGAACCTCCTGACTCAATCCAGGCCGGCAGCCTGATCCGAAGTGGCGGTTCTGGACTCCCACAAACCCCCTCCTCAGACGGGCCGGCGGCTCAGAGCGGCTGACGCTGAAAAGACTCGACAGGAGCGAAGCCAAAGTCACCGCGGCTCTGTGAGGACCACGAACCCAAACGGAGCAGCGTTTGGTCCGGACCTCCGGGTGGGATGCTGTCGAAGGGTTAGAGGGGGTTCAGTTCGGTTTACCCGCTGTCTGTGCTCTCGAGCCAAAATCAAGACAGTCATGAGGCAGATCTCACCCACAGACATCACAAGCCACGTTAACTGCATGAAATAAATCAGCCAATCACTGTATCTGTGCACAAAATCAGAATGACAGCTTCTTTGCAAAAGGGAAAATGCATCATTTACTGACCCTCATGTCTTTCCAAAACTGTATAAGTTCCTTAATTTCATGGAACACATGAAATCTAGGTAATTGGGGTAAGAATTGATTTACAAGGCTGCATTAAATTGATCAGAAGTGCCAGTAAAGACATTTATAATGTTACAAAAGATTTCTATTTAAAATGAATGATGATCTTTTGAACTTTCTATTCATCTGTGAATCCTGAAAAATAAAATGCATCACAGTTTCCACAAAAATATTGTGCAGCACAACTGTGTTCAACATTGATAATAATCAGAAATGTTTCTTGAGCAGCAAATCAGCATATTAGAATGATTTCTGAAGATCATGTGACACTGAAGACTGGAGGAATGATGCTGAAAATACAGCTGCGCATCACAGAAATAAATTATATTTTAATATATATTAACATAGAAAACAGCTATTTTAAATTGCAATAATATTTCGCATTTTCGACTGTATTTTAGATCAAATAAATGCAGCCTTTGTGAGCAGAAGAGACTCTTTCAGAAACATTTAAAAATCTCACCGGCCCCCAAACTTCAATTTAAACATGCAACACATTTGCATCATTGACACAAAAACATCTCTGATTTGCACACTGAATATGTACAATAGAGAATGATGTTCTGGAAAGAGATGCATGCTGCATATTCAGAGGAAAACAACTCATTCTGTCAGCTCTGGTTTATAAAAACTAACCCTGTCGTTTCTGTTGAGCCGGTCAAGCCTTTAACCATAACCATGTCTGTTCGCTCAGTTTAATTCATCGGATGATAGTATTTACATAAACTGCTCACTTTAGACAAAACTAGATGCTGTAGAGAACTAAATATGTCACAAGTGTGAGACAATTAATGTGTTCCTCTAAATAAATGACCAGCATAAATGAGTTCACTGTTGCCTCAAAAGTCTCAGCCAGTAGTGAAGAGGTGTTTTGGTAGGTTAAGGTGAGTTATGACCCCGTCACCAGTCTGTCTGATGGCCGAGAGCATGCTGGGAAATCAACAACTGGCGCGGTGTGGAAGCTGTACACAATCCAGAACGAGACGTGAGAGAGCAAAAGAGGGAAAGATGCCAAAAACTCATGGCCGTCTCACGTAGAACTGTCTAGTTGATGGAGGCTGCTTGACTTTGAAGAGTGCAGTTAACTAACCACTCGCTTACTAACACGTCAACGGAGTGAATGATTACAAGGAATGCTTCTTTTCAACTCGATGTCTATGAACAGCATCTCTATGCATGATGTTGATCTCCACAGACGGTAATAAGCACGTCTCAGTGTTTACACTAATGCGCTTTTAATGGAAGCTCCACAGGCAACAGGAATATGAATTATTTGGAAATATTTTGGTAGCTATTTTAGGACTTCCATTATTTGTATATTTAATTTCATTTTGAAATTATTCAAAATATTATCCATGATAATGAACAGCATGTGGGCCATAGACAATAGGTTGAAAATAACCCAGAACATTATTATTATTATTATTATTATTGATATTAATATTGATGTATGTTTTTATTTATTATAAATAATAAGAAGAAATGCTATTGTTAATTAAAAATCATTAAATACTATTAAAAACTAAACACTAACATATTTATATTTTTTATATATTTAAATATAAGATATTATTATTATCATCATCATTATATGAAAAAACAAATATATAAATAACAAATTTTTATAGATTAATAAAAGTATTTTTAAAATGTCATTAACAAGTTTTTTTATTATTATTATTAAAATATATAAATACAATATAAATTTAAATATATTAGTATTTTATAGTATTTTCTCCATTAACAACAGAATTTATTATTATTAAAATATATAAATAGAATATAAGTTTAAATATAGATTAATAAAAGTATTTTTAAAATGTCATTAACAACAGTTTATTATTATTATTAAAATACATAAATACAATATAAGTTTAAATACATTAGTATTTAGTATTTGATAGTATTTTCTCCATTAACAACAGAATTTATTATTATTATTATTATTATTAAAAAAACTGTGAGACATGAACAAAGACAAAACAATATTACTGGTTGTGTCCACAGAATGCTAGATGAATTTAGCCATTTTATGTGTTATAAAACTGTTTATTTGAAGCTGTATTTTTGTGTGTGTGTTTATTTTTGATGTCTTTGCCCGAGTTTGAACCTTCACCCGCAGTATGCTTCTGATATATTTTTGTGGACAGCGATTCTGTCTCTTTTCTCGTTTCGGTGTCTGTGTGCCTCCAATAAATATAGATTAATAAAAGTATTTTTAAAATGTCATTAACAACAGTTTATTATTATTATTAAAATACATAAATACAATATAAGTTTAAATACATTAGTATTTAGTATTTGATAGTATTTTCTCCATTAACAACAGAATTTATTATTATTATTATTATTATTAAAAAAACTGTGAGACATGAACAAAGACAAAACAATATTACTGGTTGTGTCCACAGAATGCTAGATGAATTTAGCCATTTTATGTGTTATAAAACTGTTTATTTGAAGCTGTATTTTTGTGTGTGTGTTTATTTTTGATGTCTTTGCCCCGAGTTTGAACCTTCACCCGCAGTATGCTTCTGATATATTTTTGTGGACAGCGATTCTGTCTCTTTTCGGTGTCTGTGTGCCTCCAATCCTCCCATGGGCCACACAGACCCCATCTATTTTTACGACTTTGCCAATGAGGCGGCGCGCAGAAATGTTCTGCATCTCATGACACGTTTGCCAGAGGAAGCAGAGCAATGACACAGAGTCTGGAGACTCATGACTGACTTTCTGTTCAGGTCTGCCACAGGATCGCATTTGTATCACTCTCATCACCTGCGGACAAAACGACTTGGCGCTAAGAAATGATTTAATACTGTGATAAATGTATCGTACAGTAGCACTGTGGCCACCAATCTGGACCGGATGCAAAGACAGAACAGGGTTATTTATGATTATTATGCAAAATGCTAATGACACCAAAAACTGCTTCGTATCTCAGTGTGACCCTTAATAGAAATGTGCAAAACTAAAAAATATCAGACTGAGCAATCACATTTCATTGCACAAAACTATCAGAGTGTTCACAAAAAGATGAAGAACTACAGATTATGCATAATAAAGGGAATTGCTCACAGCATGCTGAGAAGAACTGCCTCGAGAATTATTGTTGAAATCAAGACAAAGATGATGATGACAAGAAGGAAAAACAAGAACAAGAATATGATGAGGAAGCAGATGAAAAGGAAGAGGAGGAAGATGAAAATCAACAAAAATATCAAGAAGCAGCAGAAGAAGAGGAAGAAGAAGATGAGAAAGAGGATGAGGAAAAAAAAAAGAGGAAGACGACAATGATGATGATGATAAGGACATAAATTACAAGGAAGAGGAAGATGAAGAATTACAAAAAAACAAAATATAAGGAAGGTGCAGAAGTGGAAGAGGAAGACGATGAGGAAGAGGAGGAATAACAACAATAACAAAAACAAGAAGAGGATGAATAAGATGAGGAAGAGGAGGAAGAAGAAAATGAGGAAAAGTGGGATGATGACGATGAGGAAGAACAATGAAAACAGAGGGAAAAGAAAAGATGAGGAAGTAGATGAGGAAGAAGAAGAAGAGGGAGATGAGAAAGATGATAAGGACGTACACGACAAAGAAGAGGAAGATGAAGATTCACAAAAATAATGAAAAACAAGATGATGAGGAAGAGGAAGATGAGGAAGGAGGAGGAATTGCAACAATAACAAAAACAAGAAGAGGAAAAGAAGAGGAAGAGGAGGATGAAAACAATGACGAAGAACAACAATAAAAACAAAAACAAGAGGAAAAATAAGATGAGGAAGAATAAGATAAAGAAAAGGAGAAACAAGATAATTAGGGAGAGGAGGAAGATGTCACTGAGGAAGAGGAGGATGAAGATGATGAGGAAGAACAACAATAAAAACAAAAACAAGAGGAAGAAGAAAATGAGGTATAAAAAGAGGACAAAAATAATGAGGCAGAAGAGGAAGAATAATAACAACAACAACAAAAACAAGATGAAGATGGTGAAGAAAAAATACCAAAAAAACATGAACATGAGAAAGAGGAAGAGGAGGAAAAAATGAAGATGGTCAAGACAGTAGACTAAACTCTTATTTCAGAAGAAAGGAAGAGCATTGAGGGAAACCCTGCTTTCCATGATACACTCCCTTGAATAATATAAAAACAAACAGGTTTGGACTTGAACAGAGCGAGATCTAGTGAACACGGTAAACACGGTAATGAGGAAGACGAGTGTGTGTGTGTGTGTGTGTCCTCAGTCTGACCCCACAGAAGCTCTGAGACGCTCCTCATCTGCCCTCCACCGCAGGAGGCCCAAAACCGCTGCTCCATCAGTGCTAACGG